CGGGTGGGAAAAGAAGAAATTTAAAGAAAAACCAAACATAGGAAACAACAGATGTGAGGGAAATCAAGGAGACGGCATCCTCCTCCGGCTGTTCCCAGAGGAGGAGGAGGAGGAGGACGAAGAGGAGGAGGTGACTGTTCTCTACCTTGTCACCATCTCTTTCTCCTTGTTGGAGGCACAACCGCAGCTACTCAGGTTCTTGCTGGGTGTGGACAGGAAGTAGAGGCAGTGGTTCTTGAAAGACTGATCAATTAGAGGAAGTAGCACCTGCAGAAAAAAACGTGGAGATTTTAGACACGAAAAACAGAAAAATCAGGCGTTTGTGGAGTCTACTGTATTTCCAGACCTTGGCAAAGAACTTGATTTCCTGGTCGTGAGGGGATTTGTCCGTCTTCCCACTGGTGGCCATAGCCTCTGCAGTCAGATCAAAGTTTAAATTCTATGCACAGAGCATGAGGAAATCAGTCTAATTCACAGAAACATCAAACACTCACCCAGGTGAGCGATGAACTCCTGAGCCGAGTCGATGTATTTCAGCAGAGTCTTCAGGAACCTGAACGAAAACCGTTTCTCCATCGAGGACGCCTCCTGCTCCATGTCCTTCAGACCTCTGGGAGTCACAATCATAACATGGACATGTTTAACCACAACCATTAACTAATGCTCAACTCGCCTGCTTTCTGTTAACAAGAAGATGTAGCTAAATTAGCAATGTTCAAATACAAAATAGCCAAGAAGAAAAGTTGGAAAAGTTTTTCACAGCATAAAAAGTTTAACAGATATTTTTGACTTATTTTGTTAAAACTACGCCAGAAATGAGTACATTTTAATAATCAACAGCAGGTTGATTGACAGCCGACCTTGTGATCACATATCCACTGATCTGCAGGAACTTGAAGAGCTCCTGGGCCTTCTCTCTGTCTCTGTACTTCTCCTTAGCTGTCAGGGTGTCATAGGGAACCAGCAGTGGGTGGCTCCCTCCTCCTGAGATGGAAAAAATTAGAGCTGCAGCAGCTGTAACAGCATCAAGAAGAAATATTCACACATTTATTTAAAGACTTTCTGTGTGCACACCTTTGCTAATGAGCTCAGTTTTCTTCTTCTTGGCCCAGATGTTGTGGTAATTTTCTGCAACCACCTCCACCATCCCCTGCACAGAAACAAAAAAACATGAGCATTCTCATTCTAATTTTATTCTCCAGGAACAGAAATCACATCATTCAGCAGCTACCTGCAGCTCTCTGGACAAAATGACAGTGTGGAGTTCCGTCGGAGCAGGAGAGAATCCATTGACCTGCAGAGTCAGAGGGAGGGAAAACGAAAACGACAATGAACACATGTTTCTTAAAAAAACGTTATTTGACATTAACTGACCAGAATAGATCAATGTTGGTCAACAATAGAGAAAGAGAAACAACTAAACAAACAGGTAAAAATAAAAACTAAAAATACACAAAATCTAAACTGGGCAAACATTAACCAAACTTTATCCAAAAACACTATATAAAAGGCACAAAAAAATTATTTAAGCTGTCCATCAATGTTAGCCAAATATATTTTTAAAATAGTAGTCAGCAAATAATGTAGTAAAATAAAAAGGCTAGCTAGCTCTAAATGCTAATTTCTTAGAGAAATATCAATCAAAACTTGTGCAGAAGACCTGAAGAGAAGCCAAATACTAACCAACAAACATTTGTAACAACGTTTTTTTTTACCTGAGACTCTGAGAGTTTGCGTTGCTTCTCACTCTCCAGCTGTTGGAACATGGCTTCTCCTTCCTTGGTCCTCTCTATGTTCCAGCCCATGGCCAACATGCTCTTCAACGACTCCTTCACTGGCCAGCGGTAGGTTTCTCTCTCCTGGGAGAAGAGACATTTTTAATATATATATATATATGTGTAGTTGAGAATTAAAACACACGTTCTGTCATTAGTAGTATTCGTAGTAGTACCCAGAGTACCGGTGTGATCCAGTACCTTTTCGCTCAGTGCTTTGTAAGGTCTCAGCAGTGGGTGAGTTCTGGCCTGTTCATCCAAACTGTCTCCATGTTTCCAGCCCACTGACACCTGCAACAGGAAGTACGTGACGCATCTGTAACACAAATCGACTCTGTGCGTATTCACAACACGTCGTACTACTTCAGACTAGTGCATGCTGGGTATGTGACACCGACCTTCTCCGAGGACCACTTGTCATGGGAATGCTCTGCATATTTGTTGGCAATGTACTCAAGTTTTTCAGGAAGGGAGATGCTGCGACAGAGACAACGGGAATGTTTAGTACCACAGCTCAGTCACGACGACGACGACAACGACAACAACAACACAGTGGTACACACACCGAATGATCTAATCTGACATTAGCGTATTAGCTTCATGGTTATTAGAAGGTTCAGTGCAGGGAGAGCTTGGTTATTACCAGGAACACATTTATTTCACCTGGTATTAACCATCAGCTGAACATTTACAGCTGGGTTTATGTCCGTTTGAGTGTCGAGTGTGAACATTATCTGTCCACTCACTTGGCAGTGTTGACGGGTATGGGGTCAAAGTTTCCTTCTGTGTCCACTGCAGCCTGTTTCTCCACCGTCGCTCCGAGGCTGGCGTCCACGAAGTCGGGGGGCAGCGCTCCAGCGATGGCACACAGGCAGGACTTGGCCATTTTGAAGAGTTCGGCGTCATATTTCTGCACCAAAAAACATCCGCCAAAACAAATGTGTCAACATCTTTTCTCTCACTCGTTCTTTATTGGACGACGTCAGGCGGACGGTGAGAGGAAAAGGAAAGTCAAAGAACAAGGAGGAGAGAAGTGAAGAGAGAGAAGGAGGGAGGGAGACAGAGAGGGAAGGAGGGAGGGAGCCTGGAAAGCCTGATCTGAGGGATGCTCTGACACAGGCTGATAAATGATTCATCTGTTTTCTGGCCTTCTCCCCTCACAGCCTCTCCATCCAGCCTGAGCTTCACTTCGTCTGAATAACAAAGAGCGTTTCTCTCAGAGGAGCCTCGTCAAGTGTCAGAAAGTCAGAGTTTTTTACCAAAGAAAAGAGAAAGAAATACAAGAAAGAAAATTGAGGGGGGAAAAAAACCCCCACAGTAACTCCCCTGGAAGGAGATACAGACACGTGTTCCTGCACAAACCTCCGATGGTTCGTCATTAATATTTATTCCGAGGCATTTTCTGTTTGTACCTTCTGAGACAATGAGTCAAAGATTCCCCAAAATAGTTTCTTTGTCAGTAGGAGTTCCTCCTCGGAGGCTGTGCCAAAGCTTCCCATACCAGACGGCAGACAGTAGTACTTCCAGTTCTGCTCGTAGTGGTTGGTCAGCAGCTGAAGAACAACCATACAGAATGACACAGTCAGGACATTGATTTATGACTTAGAAAATAAAAAACACTACATTCATGGGCCTGAAATATGGATCCAAATGATGACAATGTCATAGGAACAAGACATTAGTCTCAGTGTCTCACCCGCAGAGGTATCTTGCAGTATTCTGTGAGCATGGGAACGTCAAACACCAGGCGTCGCAGCAGCTGCTGCATCATGGACGGACGCAGGTGCCTGTAGAAAAGAAGAAAAAAAACATGAAAGAATTTAATTTTAAAGAAATGTCAAAGAAACCTCTTTGTTTGTTTTCACGGAGAAACGGCCATTTTCTTATACAGAGGATTCTGTTCCTCGACATCTGACATGTGACGGTTCTGTTCACTCCGAGCTGTGTCTCAGTGGGACATACTTGCAGATAGCCAGCAGGCAGTCCTCGATGGCGTCCCGCTGAGCCTTGGTGAGCGACCTGCCCTTGGACAGCCTGTAGATGGTCTGCAGCGTGGAGTCCACCAGCTGAGCGTAGTGATCCGTGCTGGCAAACAGGGCGGCGCAGCGGGTCAGCAGAGGCAGCAGGGCCGAGCCGATGTATCTGTTCATGGCCAGCGCCGTTTCAGTGGTGCTCAGCACTTCCTGTGGGTCGGGTATTAAAGTACTACTGTAATACTAACGTGACTCATTGAAAGCATATATGTTAGGGTTTGATTGAAGTATTTATGTGGTACAACTACAGACACACACGGTGAAAAACCCATAAACTCACCGTGTCCAGAGAAGCTGAGGCTCGGAGGTCAGGCAGGAAGCCAACCTCCAACATCTGCAGCAGGAAGGCCTGGTCCTCGATGCCGTAGACCCTGTCCAGGAAGAGCACCATGGGGGCCTTGTGGTCGGGGCAGAAACAGGCCGACATATCCGGCTCCGTGACTGTGCCATCTAGAGGTCAAACAGATGTATGAAGCACTGTAACCTGAAACGTATCTTTATATTCTGCAGCAAATAGAAGTGAATTTGAAGTGACAGGAGGCTGAGCTGCTCGGCGCTGCCTCAGGACTGCACCCTCGATTTTCAGATAACTGAGAACTTTGACGCAAAGCGTTAAACAAAATGATGAAAACACCCAGTGGCAAAGACTGTTCCTTCCATGCAGGAACACGGGGCAGTTATTATTTATGAATACATGAATAATGAAGACGCCCACAGGTGGTTTCACAGTGAAATTAAACACGATCATCTGACACAGCTCCGATTATTTATTAAAACCAAGGAGATCAAATGGTAATATTTTATATTCAGGCTGAAAATCTACTGTATTTTGGTGTAAAATTAGGACAAGGAGATCAAATGGTAATATTTTATAGTCAGGCTGAAAATCTACTGTATTTTTCAGTAAAATTAGGACAGCAGCCAGCAGCAACAGGCAGTCACCATAGTCCGTACCTTTGTTAACCATGGGCATCTTGAGTGGGATGCTGATGATGCCCACCAGGTCTGAGGTGGGGACCAGGGAGCGGAGGATGGCTCGGATACGCAGCGCCTCGCCTTTACCTGCGTTAATAAGCTGTGACACAAAAGAAAAGACATTTAAGAGAGATTTAAAACAGAAGGCAACGGAGAAAAAAAGTCTGGACTGATTTATTATTATTATGTTTATTTCCAGGTACTGAAGGTAAAACCTTAATGCAAATGTAGTTTGAGTTTTCTTAGCTAAGTTTCAGCCACATTTATGTTAGTTTCTAGCAGAACATTTTTAAGTTTTACTGAACATAATCATTTCTTAGCTTTTATAAAGTCAATTAAATAATATTTACCTATAGCTGCTTTATTTGACCTCCAATAATTATTCACTGTTGCTTCACTTGAAACATTTTCTTAGATTTTCTAAAGAAAATCAGTGTATTACGGTGGCTGTTGAATATAGACAATGATGAGACACCGTGTGGCTTAAAGTCAAGGATTTTGAATGAACATGTGAAACTAAAAAAATTAAAAATAAAAGTCATAAATCCAAAAGTCCATAAATATCAGGTCTTATCATCGTCGGTGTCAAAATCCTCACATGCATCTCTGGAGCGCAGCGTCCCAGCAGGTCAATCAGGGCGGAGTAGAAGGACATGATGGCGTTGCCCATGTGGATGACCTCTCCTTCTTCTTCTCCACTGCTGACACACACACACACACACAGAGAGATACAACAACAGAGTGAAACACAATATCTTATCATAAATATATATAATCTTAGGAACTGTAGCACATTGACCAACATGATTGACCAACATGACTGACCAACATGACTGACCAACACGACTGACCAACACGACTGACCAACATGACTGACCAACATGACTGACCAACATGACTGACCAACATGACTGACCAACATGACTGACCAACATGACTGACCAACATGACTGACCAACATGACTGACTTCAGTGAAGCAGCAGAATAAAGCAGACCATTTTGCAGGATTACAGACCGACCACAGCGTCTGCTGACCGTCTGCTGACCGCCTGCCTCGACGTTCATATTGATTTTCAGAGCCTTTACTATTTTTCTGCACTTCAAGCAAAAACAATCTCCTCCTTCATTAAAATGCAGCCAGTGTTTTACAGTCCTTGAATACCAATGTGGAGGAGGCACCGACTGACACTGCACCGACTGACACTGCACCGTCCACCGCTGCACCCAGGCAAGTTAATTAGTTAGTTCATTTTTTTAAACACTAGATGTTAATTTACCCTCTTCAGTAAGTGGGAAAATGAATAAATAATAAATAATTAATACTAATACTATGATTAAATAACAGTATTTGACAGTAGATACTGCACGTCCTACAAATGGTCATAAATGTCTCATATACAGTAGCTGCAACACAGACCAAGTGTGTCAGTAAACTACAGAGGACAGATGATTCTGACACATATACACGTATCTGTACCCAGTGGGGACTCCGACAGGGGACTTGGGGAGGTCCAGAGCCGGGTCCTCAGAGATCTTGATGGCCTCCTTCATGGCAGCCAGCAGGCCCTGGCCCCCCTCCCCTCTCAGGGCGGGGCCGAAACACTCGGGGCGTCTGATCAGCAGCTTTACCACCACGTTGGCATTTTCTTCCACACTTTCACCTGGTGTGAAAAACAAAAATCAGCCGGAGAGAAGGAGATTTCATGATTTAATTAAGCATGAAAAGACTGGATCCGACCGAACCTCGGAGAGAAATGCAGCCCCAGGGCAGGAACAGGCAGGAGGAGAGCAGAGAAATGCAGCCCCAGGGCAGGAACAGGCGGGAGGAGAGCAGAAGAAGAAGCTGCTTTTCTTTTTTTTGTTTTTTACGTTCTCAGATTTGAGATCATAAAAACGTTCATCCCTTCCAGCAACAGACTGAGGTTTTTATTGTCTACAAACTCACTTAACCTACAACACTGCTGCAGAACTATAAAACCTGGGTTCTTTACAACACAGTTTTTTAAGATGGTGATGATGACTGGGGGGGTGGGGGGAGGTGGGGCATGGATTTATGTTGCCCCCCGAAGAAGGCAACTTCAGATTGTTTTGAAAACTAACTTTTTTGCAGACATTCTCATACTTTATCATCTTGTCAAAAATATTTAAATAACTTCTCGTTAGTACTTGGAATTACTAAGAAGAGAGATCTCGTACCGTTGGAGAAGACGGCGAACCTCAGGAAGGACAGGTAACGCTCGCCCTCTATGGGATTCCAGCCCAGGTCTGGGTAACCCTTAGCAACCAGCATGGCACAGCTCTGGAGACCACAACCTGCCAGGTAGGTCACCACCTGCAACCAACCAACCAGAACACTTCAACCATGAATATGTGACGATGATGTTTTTAATTTTAAAAAATGACATTTATAAAAGTATGTCTGTGGGAGCTCTACATGTCACGCTGGCAAGAAGTGGAACTTCAGCTACAAATGCCTAAATGATGCATTCACTGCCGTCCCTGAGAACCTCTTACTGAGTTCATCAGTAACAAACCTTCTCCAGGTCGGGCTCCTCCAGGGCCAGAGCCAGACTGTTGTTATCCATCACTGAGGACGCCGCCACGTCCAGAGGAGTGGAGCCACGCATGGCTTCAGAGGCTGGAGACAAAGAGAGACAAAGAGAACAGGACGAGAAGACAATGACTCCTAACAGAAACAAACCAGAATTTATTTGTATGTTCATACTGAAAATTCAATCAATTTCCTCTGAGACTTTTCTCCAAAATTTTGATATGGTAGGGCAGTGCAAACAAATTATCATTAACCCAACTTCAAACTAACTTCATCCGACCTGAGAATAACTATGACATTTTCTTTGTTGTTTTTAAAGGTTAAAGGTCAGTCGAGTGATGTTTTTTCCTTTCAAATCCGTTTCAGTGAATGCATCAGCGTTACCCAGTCCGACGCTGCTGTTCTCCAGCAGGTAACTCAGGTGGTCAAACATGGCCTTCTGGTTCTGGCGGCTGATGCGACAGAAGTAGCACAGGAAGCGACAACAACTGGCCACCATCTTTGGGAAGGCGATTTCCTGTGAAGGGAAATGAAAAAATCTTGACTTGCTGAAAGAAACAAAGTCAGTCTGACGTGAGAAAAAAATGAAGGTCCTAAAAGTCAGAGATATGTCTTAAATCTGGCATCAAACCCCTGACTTTGTTCCTCCTCATCGTCACTTTATTCCAGCCCTTCTTTTTATGTCGTTCCATTTAAACCCATGATCCACCGACACCCTGATGCTGGGGTCGGACGTAAACGGTGAAGGACTTTCCATTCTCGGTGTTGTGATCGTAAAATGTGAGATAAGCCTTTATGACGGGCGCAGACCTTGAACAGAGCCAAATATAAAGGATGTGACGCTGCATCCTCCGACTGTATTAACTGATCTGAATCAGACCGAGCTCTGGAGGAAACACATTCACTCCAAAACCATATACGGCCTCTGATCAACTGGTTTAGGATTTTTTTTTTAACCTTTATGGTATGAGTCTTAACATTTCTCAGATTAAAGAAAAATTCTGACTTTGTTTTTGACAAAGATAGATTGAAGTAAGACTCTTGAGTTTTTCCTTTAAAATTATGAAATATTATGAAGAATTTCTACCGAGCCAAAACCCTGGATTTCCTCCCAGAAATAACAGACTAGAGTCAGCTTTTAAATCTGCCAAAACGGCAGCTTTCTCTGCAGTTACTGTTATTTATCTGTCAATCTTTCCTTTGCTTTAACGATGTAATGATTACGGTGACATTTTTTGTCTTCATTAATTGTGCAGCAGTGATTTGAAGTCTCTCACACACACTCACCTGTGACTTGTCTCCGCCCAGCACGTTGACCATGACCTCCATGACGGTCTCGTGCATCCCCAGGACTCTCATCAGATTAGGGTGTTGGTAGAAAACCTTGTTGTTCATGATGTCACTGTCAAGTCACGACATTCCGTTACAGCGTTAACGTGTGTTCACCTGAGACCGGCTACAGCTACAGGTCCGTGTCGTCAGCACTCACCCCAGTCCGTCGATCATCAGCTTCTCCTCCTCCTTCCCCATCCGCACCGACAGCAGGGACCTGATTTGCCCCAGGGATGCCAGCAGATTAATGGCATCCTGCACGGACGCAGCGCTGATGGTGTAAGACTTCTTCATGGCACGGAGCAGCTCCCCGATGCCGTCGTACTGCCTCCTCAACAGGCTGAACATCACCCGGACCAGCTCCGGGTCCTGGATGTGAGACTCCTGGGCCCAGCTGGTGATGGTCTGGGAAATGAGCTCTTTCAGGTTGGCTGAAAAAATGAGAAAGATCAGCATTAACGCAGAGATCTCTGGGGTACTTTGGTTCTCAGATGAAGTTTTCTGTTAACATCTTGTATTTCTATTTTGAATCTCAGTCTTCCAGTCCATCTGTGTATATATACTGTATATTGAGCATTAAGCATTAAGATATCTTTCTCAGACAGAGGTGAAGGAACTCTGCATTATTTAGTACAAAACAAGAAAAAGACATTAGGGATGGAATTTAAAACCCCTGACCCCAATGAAAAAATGTTCTTTTACTCCAGCTCCAGTGTTTCAAAGAAACTTTTCTTCATCCTTGGATCAAAAACGATGTAATTCATTTATTTTTGCCAAAGATGAAAACTGACTTTGGGTTTGGCTTTTTAACCATTTTTGTCGCCGTAGGCCTGTCAGATGTCGACTTACTGTTTTTTGTTTTTTTTTAAATGGTTTGTAGGTATAGGTTTAGGTTTGTACTATCAAATGTTAGAAAAAAAAACCACAGTATAGATAAAGAATATTCTGACACTATGATAATTTCCGTGATGCTCACACCACTAGTGAAGTCTCCCAGAATAAAAATCTTTAAAATAAATTGTTTGTCTGCCCCTTGGGCCTTTTTTGTTTATATTTTTTATCAAAAATCTGTCAATTTTACACTAGCTAGCCTGCTAGTAACGTCGGAAACTTCAAAATCCAATTATTAGCTCTCATTTTCTGAGGCCCCTCTGGTGAACCACTGATCTAGATCACCTCCTTTTTCCTAGCATGATCCCTGAGGAGTAAGGACTTACTGGGAACCGCCTGCTCCTTCTCCGTGGGCTCCTCCTCCGTCTTCTGAGGTGGACCTTTGATTTTGTAGAGGAGAGCGAGGAGACGGCCTTTGATGGACGTGTCCTGCTCCTCCTCCTCCTCCTCCACGGGGATACCTGGAGAGACAAAGGGAAACCTTCATGTTCAGACACACCAGGCTGGAGAATCGAACGTCATCGTTTACAAGGTGGAGTAAACACCGCAGTGCAGACGCAGCTCCTCGTGGAAGGAGTTGAGCTCCTCCTGGATCTCCTCGGGACACGGGCAGTCATCTCCTGCGCTGAAACTCAACAAGATGTTTATCTGCACAAACACAAAAACAAGTCGACTTAGGTCAGAGTGAAGTTGTTTCATTAAACAATAAAAAAAGAAAGTTATTCCAGAGCAGCAGGATGACAGCAGAGAACCATCGTGAATATTAACGTCCAGGGATTTTAGCTGGCCGTAAATCTGTTGTCGCTCCAAATCCGTCTATAACAAATTAAATATAAATGAGGGGCTTTCTTGGACACGGACACTTCCTGAATGTTCGTCTCTATTTTTAAAAGCCCTCAGAAAGATGTGGCAGAATTTGTCCAGCAGTAAACACCTGCTACTGACCGTTAGCAAACATGCTGCAGATGGAGGTTTGTTTTCTCCCTCAGTTTTGCAGATGTCAGTTTGGAGCCCTGTAATAAACCAGTGACGAGAACGAGAACCTAAAAGGACACGGACTCGGGGCATCAGCAGGTTTCTGGAGGTCTATTTATATTCTCTCTGTACGAGAAACACACGTTTGAATGGATTGTGCTCATTGGTTCTGAGCCTGTGGCGCTTCACTCTGCTGACACAGTATCACAGACTGTGGTGGAAAAAACTAATCACTGGCTCTGCTAATGGTGGAGAAGAGGGCAGTTGAAGGTTTTTAGTTTGAGTTACAGTGAACCACTGAACACCTGTGAGCCGAGTTTATCACGACACCAGACAGAAGGTTTGAATGAATGATACCAAAGTGGAAATCAAAGACTTTGCAGGATAAAAATCCAGTCTTTTTTATACAAATTAACTTCTTATCTTGTCTGAAAAAAAAAAATACAATTAACATTGCTATAATTTTCTGGCAAAAAAACAAAAAAATCTTAAATTGGAATTACAAAATATTTGAGCCAAGGTAGTTTTTAACCATCTGGTTATAATAATGCCTTTGTGCCTGCGCATGATGGACATTAGAAACAAGAAAACAATAACAACAACGGTGTTGAGATAAATCTATTTGAACTCCAATGATGAACAGCTTTGATGGAATAAAAATCAAACTGATGTAAAACCCATGAATCTGACTGAAGTTTTGTCAACAACGCCACCACCAGCCTCTTAGGTTGACTGCAGAGAATGTGGAGAAATAAAAAGACAACGCTGATGCGTCTGTTTCAAGGTCTCCGACTTCTCAAAACATTTCGTTTCACATCAGGTCAGTAACGGAAACCAAAAAGCTTCAGGCGCTGAATCTGTTTCCTCTCCTTTGGATTCTTAATTTATTCTTTTGCACAATCTATTTAAAGGATATTTACACCGGGGAAACCTCACCAGTGCTGCTGGCAGCAAAATTAATGAATCAGGGCTGAGTTTATTATTAACTCTGATACCATTATAAATATGAACTTTTACATTTTATGCCAATTTTTCCCCCTATTATTTATTTGGGGTTATTTTAAGGATTGGACTTGTTTTAGCAGCAACAAACCTTAGAGTGAAATCTAAATAAATGTTCATGTTTACACTGCCAGTATGTATTTGGATCAAACCTCGTCTCATGGCATGAAACTAAAAAAAAACACGGTCTGACAGTGGAGTTTACTGCCTCAACATCTGCTGCAAGATCAAGTAGAACCTGGAGGAGATTTTTTTTTTAGTCTGGATGTTCACGTGTCCTCCAGTGTGAATCCTTAGTGTATATCTGTGTTTAGAAAAACACTTTCCTCTGCTGACGATGCTCCAAACGTCCTACAGAGTTCCCCGGGCCGTGTTTTTCTTTTGATACTTATTGTTTTACTTTTAAAACAAAACTTTGTATTTTTTAGTTGAACAAAAAAAAAAGCTAAAACTGAAGCTATAAAAACAAAACTTTTCCAGCGACGGTGTTCCAGGTTACTGATCTTTGTTCCCAAACGTATTCACTCTGATCTGACACCTCAAACCCAGGACTTAAACGCCGGCTCTTCGGCTGTGAGGTGTCGTACCTGCTCCTGTGGTGGGGATCGGAACTCTTTGGTCTTCTTGGCGGTGACGGCGGCTGACAGGTTGAGCGCCTGCATCAGCTCGTTGTAACGGAACTTCTGGTTGAACTGCAGCTTGGACACAAAGCTGTCGGAGAAGGAGACGATGGCTTCGATGCGGTGCTTGAGCTCGCAGTCGCAGAAGTAGTGGAGCAGCTGACACATCTGAGGAGAAGAGAGAGCGGAGATCATTTCAATCCCACTGTCTTTGTTGTTCTAAAGAGTTCCCAATCCATGGATACTGGGATAGACTCTGAAAATCTAGCTACGTTTTTTAATTCTGATCATAAAACGGGCATTTGAAGGTAACAAAATATATTATTAGGGAAATGGTTTTCATCTAAAATCTGCAAAATATATTTCCTTATGCTTAAATATGTTTCCAACATAGTTGAATATATTTTATTAAATTGATTCAACAATTAATTTCTTACATTCATGTATAAGGAAGTCACTTTAAATATTTAAATTTTCTGATACCTAAAATAGAAAACTTTAATGTGAGGTTGATTGGAAAATTTATAATGATGATGTCTTACTATTTGTGTCTTACTATTTGTGTCTGAAGCTTTTTTTTTATGTGAGGTTGATTGGAAAATTTATAATGTACGCAGATGATGTCTTACTTATTTGTGTCTGAAGCTTTTTTTTTTTAACTTTTTTTCCCTTTTCCCTCCTCTGCTCCTCCTTCTACTAAAACATCCTGACCTGAGGAGTTTGGTTTGGTTTGTTGTCATTAGTATTCCTCCACTGTCTTCTGCTCAGTGAGTGATAAATTACATTTGTTCTGAATCACTGACTGACAGAGACCTGGTCCAGCAAATCTCATATGTTGGTAAATAGTCATTTTTGAAGGTGTTCAACAAATATTTTTTCTCTCTGACTCTATATGTGAGGAAACATTTAATGACGGTTTTTTATCACCTGACGTTTGACAGACTCTGGCAGCGACTTCTCCAGCAGACCTTTGACCGAAGCTTTACTCTCCTTGGTCTCCTCCTCTCCAGCCTCCACGGCCTTCTCTTCGTTCCTGCTCACATCCTCCTTCTCCCCGGCCACGGCCACCTCGTCCCCTCTCGCCTCCTCGCCCTCCTTGCCCTCCCCAAACACGTTGGGGTCGATGAGGAGGAGGATGAGACTCACCTCCTCACTGGTGAGGACTCCCATGATCAACAGCGTTCCGATCAGCTTCAGGATGGGGACGAACTGGTACTCCACACTGCCACCCACTGGGTCTCGGATGTGGGTGCCCCCGCCCTGCACGGCCTCCGTCAGCATGCTGATGGCCTTCTCCTTCAGGGTGCCCAGAGGGATCTGTGGGCTGTACAGGTACTGGTGGCGTTTAGGGGCGATGATACCAACAGGCGAGAAGTTGAGCCGGGGTTTGAGGGAGGTGCTGAGGCCGACTCCGGGCAGGGAGTGACGCTTGGACTCATCTGGGAAGAGCTTGATGGAGTGAGTTTCATCCGTCAGCGGGATGATGAACTCGTTGTTCATCATCAGACGCGCCTCCTTGGCAGTCTCCAGATGGATGCTGGGAACAAAGACGTTTCTGTTCTCTCACAACGTCACACTAGTTAGCCTACCGATCGAGCTACGAGTTAGCCAAGAACATCGCTAAAACATTCGCATAATAATTAAGAACAGGGATAACTAGAAAGGATCGATTATAATCATAAGTCAGAAAATGGTATAAGTACAGTATAAGAAACTGAGATTTGTTATGAAGAAAAAAATGTAAGCTTTACATTAGCTAAATAGTTGAAAATATAGTTAGTCCAGAAATGGCTAAATGTTTACAATATGATTAGTAGGGATTAATTAAGAATATGTAAATACTAAATTAATTAGTTAAAAAACAAACAAGGAGTTCGCCGCCTTTCTACGAAAATACTTCATGTGTGGTTCTACTGCCCCCTCTGGTCTTGGGTTGTAATAGTCATCAAGAGCACATGTGCAAACCTGATGAGGACATTGTAGAATCCGTCTCTCAACATTCCAGACAAGTACTGGTTGTCAATGGTGTAGAGAAGCTGTGATTGGTCCAAGTGGCTGCAGAGGGCGTGAGCCACGCGGGTGTTGCCCAGGGCACAGAGGGCGCAGTACAGCTTTAAGGTGTGGTAGTGGAACTTCCTCAGGTCTTCCAGCTCAGATAACTCCAGGATGTCCAAACACCTGGTGAGAGTACGAGTGGTTATTTTAAGATGAAACTCCTCAGTTGAACAGAGTAGGTTCTTGACCTTCTTGACCTTCGTGTCCCACCTGTTTTCCTCGGGAATATGCACAGCCAACATCTGCAGCGGTTCCAGACACTGGATCACCCAGCCGTGCCTCTCACTGACCCGGGCCGTCTCCACACTCAGGAAGGTGTTGGGCATCCGGCTCCACAGCACCGATACGATGGTCTGCACGTCCAGTCGCGGTGGGCACTGAGGCACGGGGTTCCTCTGCTCACTCTTAAATATGGCTGAGGAGAGTGGCATGGCATCCTGGGAAAACAAAGGATACAAAGATGACAACAAAGAGCATTATTAACCATCAGGACGAGGAAAGTCATTTTTGTTCTTATTGTCTATCCTCCAGGGTTAGCTGTATTATATTTATGGATTCTTTTTTTTTTTTCTGAGAGTGCAAGGAAGAACAAACGTACCTTGACCTTGACGAACTCAAACTGGAACAGGTTGGCACTGGTGGGGTGAACGAACACGGCAGGGAAGAGCTTTGTATTTGGCTCCACCTAAAAAGAAAACACACACAGACGTTATTGACAACATGCACTTTTCCTTTACAACAACGTCTGCAGCACATCCAGATCCTCGTCGTCCACCAAGTGTTAGATTTTAAAAATGGATCGTCCTATCGACAGCTTTGAGTCATCTTTCAAACCTTTGTGTTCATGGATTGGCCGCAGCTTCAAATGTCAGTGTACTGTAATGGATATTAGCTGGTGAAAGGCATCATCATCCATCAAACAGATAGATACCAGGGGAGCAGGATTTAAAAAAACAAACACTCTCTGATACACTGACAGGACTTGAAGACTTCCATCCGGGTCCACAATTCCTGATACACTTTTTGAAAAAGTAGGAAAAAAAGACCTGAAAAACGTCAAGGGCAAACTATGGCCTGTGGACCAGAGGGTGCCCGCTGGGCTTTCTAATCCAGTCCGACCAATCTGGGCTTTGAGTGGTCAGTTCTACCTGATATGTTGTGGGCAGTTCTTTCCCATTGGCGGTGAAAGAGACCAGACCAGTGGCCAGGTCAATCAGACAGCCGATGTCCAGGTCAGAGCTGCCGGTGGAGGCGGAGCCGACGGCGTCTGCTGCACAAACCATGTAGCAGTTGCTCCTCTGGACACTGCAATTTTTAGCAAAAATGTAAATATTGAGATAAATTTAAAAGTGAACTCAAGGTCAAAGTGTGATGTTAGCATCTTAGTAAACAGAATCAAGACCAAGTGTGAATGTTTTTCATTCCTTAATTTCTGAATTTATTTACGGCGAGGAAACTGAAATCTGCTCAAAACTGAAGAGGACATCTTCTCATCAAAGCTCCGTTCATGGATCCTCGTTGATTTGTGACTCAAACCTCATTCATATTCATTCAGCTGCACAAACACAGGCTCCACTCTCTGGAATATTAAACAGGAATGAATCCAACTGAACGAAACACTTGTTGATGTTTATGTTGAGCAACGTTCATAAAACAGTTTTTATGTCGGATTTGGTCTTTTTGTTTATTCTATTTTGTTTTAGATCAGTTTTTAAAGTTACATTTTTAATTTTATTCTAGCAGAGTCTCGGTCAAAAAATCTGGGCTTTGAGTGGTCAGTTCTACCTGATATGTTGTGGGCAGTTCTTTCCCATTGGCGGTGAAAGAGACCAGACCAGTGGCCAGGTCAATCAGACAGCCGATGTCCAGGTCAGAGCTGCCGGTGGAGGCGGAGCCGACGGCGTCTGCTGCACAAACCATGTAGCAGTTGCTCCTCTGGACACTGCAATTTTTAGCAAAAATGTAAATATTGAGATAAATTAAAAAAAAATTAAAAAGTAGAACTCAAGGTCAAAGTGTGATGTTAGCATCTTAGTAAACAGAATCAAGACCAAGTGTGAATGTTTTTCATTCCTTAATTTCTGAATTTATTTACGGCGAGGAAACTGAAATCTGCTCAAAACTGAAGAGGACATCTTCTCATCAAAGCTCCGTTCATGGATCCTCGTTGATTTGTGACTCAAACCTCATTCATATTCATTCAGCTGCACAAACACAGGCTCCACTCTCTGGAATATTAAACAGGAATGAATCCAACTGAACGAAACACTTGTTGATGTTTATGTTGAGCAGTGTTCATAAAAACAGTATTTATGTTGGATTTGCTCTTTTTGTTTATTCTATTTTGTTTTACATCAGTTTTTAAAGTTAAATTTTTAATTTTATTCTAGCGGAGTCTCGGTCAAAAGTACTGTAATTCTGAGAGCAATGAAGTATTTCTACATCGTTTCAAAATATATTCATGGCCCAGTGTTAGGGTTTTATCTCTGCGTTTGTTTGATTAATACGATGATAATGATGGAAAATGTCGTGTATAAACACAAGAGCAGATTTCTGAACGGACTCAAACCAGAATCCATCAAAGCACCAACTCATATCCATCAATACAAGTCTGGGATTATTACGTTCCGGAGCCGGAGCCGGAGCTGTGCAACTGCAATGATTCAATTTAATGAGTTTTACTTCCAACGTAGCCTGAGGTTTAATGGCCCTAATTCAGAACCCTCAAATTATAATTAAATAATTAAATTGTACTTTGGCAATAAGTGAACAATGACTTTTTTATGTTCACATGGACATTTGGAAAGTCTGCAGTATTTTTCCCAGAATACAATTCTGTGATGGCAACGGAAGTCAAGGACAAACCCCTGAAATGTGACAGAATTTTACATCAAATATTAAAATAAATGACTTGGTGACTGCTTAAAAATGAAAGCAGCCACAAACAAATTAATTTTAATGATAATAAAAATATTATTTATTGTTTGTTTTACAAAACAATTCAAGGATTATGAGTAACTTATTTCAATTTATAAGATTTATTTAGGCTTTACTTTTAGCATTCCTGAGTGAAAGTTTGAGCTAACCTACATTAGTGCTGCTAACCTTTATCTTCTTTAGATTTTATTTTTAAATTTTTGTTATGAAAGTAAAGTAAATGTTATATAGATTTTTAGCTTCTGTGTGGCCAGTTTTGAAATATGTTTGACAAAGTTAATTATTTATATATCACTGAATTTTGAAAAATGTCCCCTGAACCTACAGTAGCTAAGCGACACTTGCCTCTCGTGAACTCGCCCCCTCTCATCACCCAGGGTCACGGTCACAGTTCGGGTCTTGTTGAGGCTGAAGTTCTTGCTGTAGTAGTGATAGTCCGGCGTGACCCAGCCCACCCACACCAGGGTGGGATCCTGACCGGCAAACACTCTCACCGAGTGGTAGAACTGCCGTTAAAAAAACAAATGGAACCAGGGGTTAATTTGACTGAGGCGACACTGAGCTTCTTTTGTATCGTTAGATTTGACAGTGAATTTACGGTGGTGATGCTTCCGTAGTCTACACTTCCATCTTCTCTTGGAGGTTGGCTGTAAGGAATAACAGAAAAAACAGGGTGGACTCAGGGTAATGAAATGAAATCTGGACTGAATTTCACAACAAAATAAATTCTGAGATTAAAAAAAAAAAAAAAAAAAAATGGGTGTAAACACAATAATTTAGTCCCGAGAGTGCAGCCAGAGCCATCATTGTTCATGAAGCAATTCCAGGGCTGTCCTGAGTTAATGACTTCTTAAAGCAGCACAGACGACACAGACGACTGACCTGAGCTTCACAGACTCATCCAGCAGCATGTCTGCAGAGTAGAACTCCACGGGCATGCTCAGGCGACAGTACACCATGTCGTTGTTGCTGTTCTGGGTGCCGAACGTCTTGTGGGTGACCTTCAGGCAGGGAGGACTGTCCACCGTCCCGTCGATCCTCGTCACCTGGTTGAAAGTGACAGATTGGACGCAAACATCTACAATACCAAGAGCAAGTGCATGAAGCTAACGACGCTAACGACCAAGAGCAAGTGCATGAAGCTAACGGCGCTAACGAACAGAACGGGAATCTCCATTCACCTCGACGTGCATGTGGGTTGGAGGAACGTTGACAAAGGTGGGGAGGCGCTTGCTGAACCACATGGTGATGTCCCGGTTCATGTTGACGGCGAAGGGTTCAAAGCCTTCCTGCAGGCCATACATTGTGTAGTACTTAAAGGTACTGGCATCCTTGCCCAGGTTCATGCGACCGATCTGGGACAAACCCAGACTGCACACAGGGATGAAACCTGGAGGAAGTGACGGACAGGTCACATTAACCACAGTGATTGTCCTTTACATCTAAACCATTAACACATTAAAGCTCCACGGCCACAGAGGACTTTTTAAAAACTGCCCCATCGTGAACACCCTCTGACCTCTGACCTCATGCTAAACAAACCCAGCTGTTTAAACATAAAAATAGAGAGAAATAAGTAGCACAAAAGTGCAGCGGAGCTGAAAGTCCTCACCGTCCTCCGTTTCAAAGTCGGTGAAACAAAGCTCAGAGCCCTTGCTGGTGATCAGGAGTTCTCCGTTCAGGGTAAAAATCATGGATTTGTCCTCCATATTGATCATGCAGCCAACCACGTCTCCCTTTTGCCAAGGATGTCCAAATACACGGCTGCCTGCGTGCATACGTTGACCCTTAATCCAAAGACAAAAAAAAAAAAGAAAATGACATTCGTGCTACAAAAACGGCAGAATATTGGTTAAAAAAGAAGTATCTAGAGTTTTGTTTTTTGTTTTTTTTACCCTGTATCCATCAAAAACAAAGCCCTGGTCGTCCACTCCCAGCTCAACATCTGGTCTGCAGCCCGGTCTGGCCCAGCCCACCCTCATGTCACCTCCACTCAAGGCTTCAAATTCAAAGTACCACTTCCCTGTCGTCACGGCGTACGTCTGCTCCACGCGGAAGAAACGAATGGTCTCAATGCTCTGGTCATCGTCCACATGTACCACTAGGGGGCGATAGTGGAGCAAAAAGTGAGAAAAAGCAGGTCCTTCGTGGACGAACATGAACGAACAAGTCCCACCTTTTTTTTTAAACATTTCTTTTCACCACTCAAAGTGCTGAGAATATCATTACAAGTACAACGCAACATAAACTAGCACCTTGTAGTACTATACTCTAAATACCCAACTAGTTATACACAAGATCTGTTAAATGTTAGTACTTGTAAAATGATACTTTATATTTTAAATATCAGGCCAGCCTGGACAGTAAGATTTGAGAGACACTGTCTCACCCTCCTGGTCCGGGGGATCGATGTCATATCCATATCCGACCACTGTTCTGATAGCCTCCCTCAGACTGTCTCTGTTAGACTTCTTTGTGCGTTCATCTAGCAAAGCGTATGGCACCAGGCGAGGGTTACGTCTGCTCTTCAGATCCTGACCCCAAAAAGAGTAAATCACAGTGAATCACAGTAAATCCCAGTAAATCCCATTAAATCACAGTAAATCACAGTGAATCCCAGTAAATCCCAGTACAAAGGCACAGACAGAGGCCAGTTCCAACAAACCTAAGGCGAGGAGCTCCTACCTGCTGGATACCATAGGTCCATCCTTGTTTGATTCGGTCTTTGGCCCACACGTTGTGTGCGTTCTCGGCCAGTTTATCAACTAGAACCTCCTGACCGGCGTTCAGCTTCACATCAGAGAGGTCCAGTGGCGCAGGCTTGTATCCATTAGACATCACGTAGCTGGACACCACATGACAAACCATTAGGATAAACCTGAGCTTATAATTACAGTGCATCTTTCAGGATGATTTTAAAGAGCAAAGACTTCTTACTCTTTGGGTAGTTTGATTTTCTTCAGATCATCCTCGGCGTGAACGTTGACCTGGGCAACGTGGCAGCCCAGCGCTAACAGAGTCCTGTAGACAAGAGAGAAACGAATAACGTTTCACACCTGTGGTCAACCATTTCAGAACTAGAGCAGATGTTTGTGTTGAACAAAGACAAATCTCTTCAAAGTGAGATCCAATAATGCTGATTGGTGGAGAACACTTTTCCACTGGACTCAATAATGCTGATTGGTGGAGAACACTTCCTGCAGCTGGTTCCACTGGACGAGTTAAACCAGGTACAGTAAATGGGTTCTATAATATAAGTGCCCGTCCTTACTTGAGCGTTTCACTCGACATCTGCAGGTTGTAGTTCCTTTCAGTTTCAGGCAGCTTAGCAAAATCCACCAGGCAGGGGTGCTGCCGCTTGTTGTCATCACGAACCGGCGGAGCGACGAGCAGAGTGTCATCAGCATACTGTCATAGCTGCCTGCATCTGCTTATACTGCAGGCTACGAATAATGGTAACACAGTGTGGAACGTTCCTGTGGCAGGTGTTGACAATAGGACGTAGAACTGGCCCAGTCACATCACCTGAACCATAGCTTTTTTTCATAATTATTATTATTGATAAAATACATTATTAAAAACGTGCAGAGAAAAAAGTTAAATAAATTCTTATCTAACAAACCAATCAGACCTCCATCTTTACCTCCATGGGCCCTCTGTTGGGGTTGCGGACCCCCTGTTGAACATGTGTTTGACAATAAGCTTGAATTGCATTTATTACAGACTGTTTCTGTGAGGTGAACTGTGACATCATCCTGTCCGTCAAGTATCTGTGTCTTATTTAAGTACAACGAACATTTAGTTCCAATCGGAGCAGAACTGAACTCGATGGATTTGAATGGAGTTCTTATTACAGGACAGTGTTTGACCCAGGTCATGACCCCTCATTAGGCTGTGATCACACCACTGTATAACTGAACAGAGTGTGTGTTCTAGACTGAACACACAGACGGTTCATACAACTGAAACATCAGTGGATCAAATGAAAAGATTAAGATACAGCAGTTCACATATGTGCAAAAATCTGAAAATCTTGGTAAAATTCCCAATTCCACCAAACTCCCAGTGCAATTTCGAAAATCCAAATCTCTTTCTTTCCTGTTGAACCAGGACACGGTGCTGGACACCTTTTATCACAGCGCTGCAGGAGGAGCAGTTTTTAGGTCACGGCTCTACCTTGCCATAAGTCCAGCCCAGCTCGATCTTGTTCATCCCCCACAGTTCGTGGATGTTCTCGGCCAACATGTCTCTGACGTGGTCCAGGTGAGGCGGCAGGACGACCTGCAGGGGGCAGAGCAGACAGAGGCCACAGCTGGGAAGATTCCAAAACTAATAAAACTGTTGCTGGTTTCTCCATTAACCTCAGCTGGAATGATGAGGGAAACCACGCGGTTGTCACCTGCTCACCTGGGTGGTGTCGACAGGAGTGGGGATGAAGGAGGCCTGGGAGAGGAACTGGGTGGTCCCCAGCATGTCACGGATCCCCTCGTGGTCTCTCTTGTACTCCTTCACGGGCTCAATACGCATCTTTTCTTTGGGCAACAGCGCCTCGTAGCACGGAGAGTAACCAGCAGGTGGCAGGAACTTGAAGTCTCCATGGCGTCCTCCCAGCAGGAAACGAACCCTGGAATTCGAAGGTGAGATTCCTTTGATTCTAGCTCTAGAGTGGATTTGTAAAAATTCTTGGATTTTGATTCTAGCTCTAGAGTGGATTTGTGAAAAGTCTTGGATTTATTTGACTTTTAAACTTTTTTGTTTGTTTACCAATGGTGTAGTGAATATTAAAATACGTTCTGTTTTGTGTCATAATATAGTAAAAGTGTGAGGAAAAGCGTGCAGGTTTATCTCCCTTCTTTTGCAGACATGAATCTTCCTGTCACCATATTATCTTACATCTGTCCCCGATAACTTTAAGCTGATGGAACATTTAGATTAGGGTTTTTTGGTATGTCACCATATTATCTTACATCTGTCCCTGATAACTTTAAGCTGATATATATAATATTTAGATTAGGGGAGCTGTTTAAAATTGGTACTGCATTTAGATTAGGGTTTTTTGGTATTTTTTTGACACATTAAAACCTAAACTGCGAGGTCACTACAGTAGGCTGTCAGTTTTGCACCACTAATCTCTTGGTCGTCAAAAAGTTTGACAGCTGACGGCAGAGTTTTCTCTCCACTCCCTTACTTCACTCCTGCAGAGAAGCTGACAACGGGGAAGAAAAATCCGTCCGTGTTGAAGTCCTCAAACATTCCCTGGACGGGCTGCCCGTTGATCCTGAAGGACATGCTGGGCGCTCCCAGATCCAGGCAGCAGCTGACCACGGCGTCGTTGTTCAGCATGTGATGGTTATTGCCACGGCCCTGGGGATTCGGCCTGGACAGAAACACAGAGGGATGACATAGACGGGTGGTTTTTACGAGGGTCAGTAAAGATACTGCACATCTGGGCCAGGAGAAAACGGGGGCGAAGACGGTGAAGGAGTTTTAAAGGGTTGAAGATATTTAAGTATGTTTATTACTGTATGTTTACCTGATAAAAAAAAAAAAACCCTAGAGCAACAAGCTGAGGGTTGCCCACATCCCTGTGTTTGTATTTATTATCAAAGACACACAGAGAATACAGAGTGTAGCGATGGAGAAACACTGAAACATGACCTGGTTGGTTGGTGATTTTTTAAAATCCTTGTTCTACACTGTTTTATCATTTAAATGGGTTTGTTTTTTAAGCTGATGTTGAACATCGTGGACTGTAAACATCCAAACTGCTGTGGTCTGCTGCACACTCTCTCTGCCTTCATGGACATGTGATTCAATGTGTGGGACTGTCAAAACACAGGGGACTCCTGGAATTCCAGGAAGACCTGGAATGAGTGTCAAGACATACGACACTATTGTGTTTTAAAAAGGTGGAGGTTTCTGAGCAGGAGCTGACGTGTGTGTGTGTGTGTGTTTGGAAAGATCTCCTGGTGAAGGATAAGAAGTGACAGGGAAGCAGGATTTACTGGAGCCTGAAACGAACCTCATTTTACCTCCAACATCTTGAAGTAAAGCTGTGAGGAGGAAAAAAAACCCACAGACTTCTGCAGGGAAATTACAGAAACTATCTCAACTTTAATCACTGCATGTTCACACAAACGACCAGGGGAATAATCTGGAAAAACCTCACATTAATGTGTTTTAGTTTGACCAAAGAGCCCCAACCTTCTCCAGGGGGCAGGGGCAGAACATGACAGGTATAAAAACAGAACAATTTTTCGACCAAAATATACATCAACATCTTCTGTATTCATCAACATCAAACCCTTGCGTACCTGACCAGAGGTGAAGTCCGTCAAAGCTGTAGGAGTACAGGTCGTCCCCCACACCGTTGCCTCCCCAGCCCTCTCCTCCACCAGGGTATGGAGCGTACCCTCTTGTGTTGGCCCAGCCCACTCTCAAGTGGGTGGGCTCCCCGGTGACAAAGTGGTCCACCTGGTCGATCACCAGCTCGAAATACCACTTCTTATACTGGGCTGAACCTTCAGCCATGCCCAGGAAGATGTTTGGTCTCATGCTGCAGAAGGACACAGAGACGGGATCAAAACCTCAACTGTACAACAAAAAAATCAAATGATTTAAACACATTATTCCCGTGTTCTACCGTTCCACCTGTGACACAGTCCGTTCTTTACCTCTGAACATCGTTCACCAGTCGAGTCTGCAGCAGCAGGTCCCTTTTGGGGAGGAGGTTGTCGCAGATCAGATTTTGATTGGCTCTCACTGCCACCCCGTTACAGACGCAGAGGGAACACAACACATCCAGAATCTAAGAGAACAAAAAGAACAATCAGACGCTTCTGGTTTCTTCTGTGTACAAATCAAACCCGTCTTCATCTACGCCATGTCAGAGCGGGTCAAACACATGCAGCATCATTTGGCCGTTTCTGTTTCCCACCTTGTGGTTGCGCCCATGCTTGTAGAGCAGAGAGATGATGGATTTGATGTGCCCTCTCTGGATGATGTTCAGAGCCTCCGGGCTCTCCACCAGGATACAGTGGAGGACTTCCAGGATCCCTGAGACATTTGGCCACGGAAACATTTGTTACAATCACAACAAACATCCTGAGAGCGAAAGTCAAGTGTCTTTCTGTCAACAGCACCTGAAGATGATTCCAGTCTCTCCAGTTTGCTGACCAGCCAGTCCAAGTTACGGGAAAACTGGGTGCAGTTGTTCCTGTTCCCACGGATCAGCGAGGCTGAGGGAAGGAAGAGCAGAGGTGTAAAACAAGACGCCAGCATCTCCGAGGGGAAACAAAGATGGTTACGCGTTTAATTAGAAGCACAGTCTTAGCTGTTTCTACCCAACAACTCTGATCCACAGGAAGTGTAGATGTTAAAACTCAAACAATCTCTGCTGACAGATCTGTATTCAGGAGCTGGACTCTCTGTGAAACGTGAGGCTCGTCTCTCTTTTTTTTTTTGGCCTGTGTCGTGATATTTATAATTCTCAGTTTTCCTTAAAGTCTCAGTTTTCATTTCACTGAAGTTACCGAGGCCAAGCCACAGCAGTTGCTGCCAAATAAAACATTAAAAGGAATTGGAACTATTTATATATTGTCCGCTCTAAAAAGCCAAGTGGACAATGTTGGAAAATACAGGAACACGCGGGGAGTTGAACGGTGTCGTTTGCAACAGGAGAGGGAAGGAATGAAAAACATGAAATGGCCCTTTAATGCCCTTTTATGAAAGTAGTAACTAGTTTAATTTATTAGTTAATAGTATATACATACATACACACATATCTAAATATATGCAGTATAAACTATATTTACTACGACTGGATTTCCCACAGGACGTAAGAACAGGTTAATTAAACCGAGTTATAAAAGAGTCTCATTCGCTCGACCTTTAAATAACTTCACTTGTGAATGAAACAGTCCCTGTGTTATTACGGAGCACAGAGGACGACCCATAATGCAACACCATTCATCACCCTGAAAACTGGCCTCAACAAGCTGCCCCTCCGTGCTCGTGGGTGACCTCCTAGTGGAGAAAGAGTGAATTTGCGGGTTAGACGCGCACGTATGTGCGGGGGGTCGGTACATGCTGTGGAGGTAATGATGAATATGAGGGCGGCCAAGGTGAGCGACCACTGACAGCAAAACACAAACTATCCAAAGAAAAAGTTGCCAGGACTAAAAAGCCCCAAACACTTTTCAGGGTCAGAGCTTTAGTATTCATGACTTGACGCCGCCCGGAGGAGGAGGCGATAATGTCACCACCTGTGAAGGCTGGCATTTGGTTAACGATGCACGCGTTTCCACAAAGACTCAGAAGAACGTTCCACAACAGGTCCACACTGATTTGAAAAGAAGGCAGTGGCTTTGAGACAGCGTGGTGAAATGTCAGCGCTGCTCTGTTCTCTCCTTCCCCTCTGTCTGAGTCACAGTGTTGGAAAAGGAAAAAGAAAACAAACAAGGTCATCGTGACCTTGACCTTTGGCCCCAAATGATTGACTATGATCTTAGACGATACTTTGAATCAAATTCATTTGATTTCATTTTAAAAATGTTTTTTGGAAATAAAATTCTATGGAGAGGAAAGTACAGTGACAGAAGGGGAGGAGAGGAGGGGAGAGAATTGTTTGTTAATCAGCAGGACTCGTCTTTTCACTCCTCACCCAGGAGCTCATAGAGGAGGTTGAGAATGTCTTTCCACGCTGCGCCCGCCTCCTCCCCTGCCATCTCTCCAAAGTGGGCCGCACTGTTGTACAGGTTCATCCGGTCAATGCACTTGGACAAGAAAGCCAACATTCCCTGGGGAAAAAAAAAACGACGTTCCAGATCATTAACATGGAGGATCACAGGGAACGATGGCAGCAGCTGAAACTCTCCTCGTGCCCTGATGTGACCTTGATTCCTTCACTTGTCTCCATTCTCACCTCCTCTTTGAAGAGATCTTGCCGCTTGATGAGAGAGCGGAGGAGAACTTGTTTCTCCTCGTGCTCCAGCTCAGAGTCGGGCTGTTTGAAGTACTCGATCAGATCGTTGAGCGTCTGCAGCACCTCCTCGATGTACCTGGCCACGGCCGTGGACTCACCCGCCGTGGTTCTGTCCAAAGCTCTGGAAGATTAGAAAATTATTAAAAAATAAAAACAAGAAGAAGAAGGAGGAAATGAAAGTGTTGTCAAACTGAACCCTGACGGTTGAAGTCTCTCATCACCGCGTCCTTACTTGATGAAGTTCTTGAAGAGGAAGGTGGTGTTGCGGATGATGCGTGCGGCCCGGGACTCTTCGTGCTGACAGCGCTGCAGGATCAGTCCATCGTCCATGTGACCTTCAGAATGCAGACAGGCCTTCAACAGGAAACAGGAAATTCACATTCTGACCATTAGAGGGGGCACGGGCGTGGGTCGACTCCATATTTTCAACTATCTCTGATTTCTTAATTACTGAAACACAATTTTAAGCTAAGCTAAGTTGGCTACATGCTCTGTTCAGAAACACGGTCCAACGTCCCTGACTTGTTCTTCGACTTTGAGCAGCTAAATCATGAGCTCACACGTTGTTCACGTGTGTCAGTGCGGCGTACGTATTTGGCCGGGGTGTGAAGTGTGTGTGTCCTGCTGCCGAGGTGTCTAAACAAACACAGAGTGGGAGGATGAGGTGAAAGAATTTAAGTGCAGACCAAGTGTCACCCTCATCATGTCAGGTGCTCTGGAGCTTTGCCAAAGCCGGAGGATCGGCCTGGCACCAGCACAAGGAGAATTTGATGTCCTTGGAGAAGTGCCCAGGTCGGAGCTGCCGCCCTGATCCCGCCCAAAAACTAACACGTCACCCTCCACGAGGCCCATTGTCGCTTTGGAATTGGTGGCTAAGAGTGCAGGATGATGGAGTGTCATGGACTCCACAGGTGAAGTGACAACGGTTTTTGCAAAAGAGAAAAAGTTGCAACCTGCATCTCTGACAATAAAGGACTGAAATCTTGACATTTTCTAATTTTCTTTCAGTTTGGAGAAAAAGTTTTACTGAGTTTTTTTTTTCTGTTTAAGCTGCTCTTTAAAAATGTGTGATTTTTTTAGGGTTGAAAAACCTGATCAAATAAAACATGACACCTGACAAAAAAAAATTATAATGAATTTCTGGAGAGGTCTGAGAATTTTGTCTGAACATATATTTTCACATAAGTGAATTCAGATAAATATACTTTTAATTTATATTTTCACATAAGTGAATTCAGATATATATATACTTTTAATTATAACATCTGTTTTTTCTTTTCAGATATTTTGACCTGTGGTTTCGAAAACTTTGGAGTGAAAATAAAGACAACAACTGTGTTTTTCATGAATTGTTGAGATGATTGAATTTTTATGGACTTGTTTGACCCATATATTTATATGTATTTATATATTTTTATGAAGTGAATTTCAGTTTGTTTGTTGAACTGTAGGTGGGGCTATATTCACCCGTCTCCTCAGAGGTCCTAGTCGAGATGATTTGGCATCAGGCGCCTGGTAGGACAGCCACAGTCCTGTGGCCACATGCATGACGAAGCAGACAGAGTCTCCATATTTGATCTCAGGGACGCCCATCCCATCGATGTCCCTCTTCGGACCCGTGTCTCCCTTTTCCTGCAGAGTTAGAATGAGAGGTAAAAGAGTTACTCACGTTACTCAGCAGAACACACACACACACTCCGTAGCAGACATGGAAAAATGACAAATGAAGACATATGGTGAACAGATATTAATTCTTGAGGAGCTGCTGTTATTGGTCCACGGGGAGGCCGACGCCCGCCTCATTACTTCGACTTCATTTCTGCCTCAGCGGTGATGGAGTGATGCAGCTGATTAGAGTTGACAGGAAGTAAGCAGGACCGTATTAATAGAAATGTTCGACATGGCAAAGCGTTGACCTTTGGAGACAGAGAAATCGACTGCTGCTGGACCGTGTCATTACTGGGTGGAAAAGTGAGATTTAATTCAGAAAATGTTCCGGGGAAAACATGAACTTCCAGCAACCTTGATGAGAACTGCTGAAAAGTGCAGCCAACTTTCACAAATGCAAGTCCAGACACAGCTTTATTTACACCAACTTTGAGTTATTCCACTGGTTAACTAGTTAACTAGAACTAGTTACAGTTACTATTTAGAACCTGGTCGTTAACTAGCCTTAGCTTCCCCATCCTTTGGCTAACTCTCTCAGGTCAACTTTTTTATTTTTATCTTTTGGGAAGTGTTTATCTTTACTTGGCAATTTATATACTGTAATTATAAATATATATTTACACACATATATTTATATATGTATATTAATTAGCTTTTAGCTAGCTTGATAACTAAACGTTATTGCTAGGCACATCTTTAGCTGCTATTAGCTATAAGTTAATGCTTGTCAAATATCCAGTCCAGGTAAAATTCAATTCTTTTACCTTAAGACTTTTCATCTACATTTGTATCTGAACATTTTCTAAACTTGCATTTAAAAATATCCAGTCCAGGTAAAATTCAATTATTTTACCTTAAGATATTTCATCTACATTTTTATCTGAACTTTTTCTAAACTCACATTTAAATGACTTTATGTTCTGACAATTTTTTTTGTCCATTTTGTATCAAAACTGCTAATTTGTCTGACCTTGAAAAACACAAGGGTGAAATCCAGGCCTTCGAGCACCGACCACCGACCACGACGCCAACAGAACACACCAGAATCACCGCCTGACTCTGTGACTGACATGACAGTAATGTTCTACAACAGGAGCTGCTCCCGAGGTGAAGATAACAGACGGGCAGTGGACAAAAGTCTCCACCGTGTCCTCAGTCATTCCACATCAAGGGGATAATGACTTTATTTTAAGAAAAAAAAAAAAAGCCCCCGACTCGTGCTGCTCCGGTGACAACCGAGGGCAATTACATTTGTTGTCAGACGAGGGACGTGTTGGAAGAGAAGCGACCCCAGGAGGGATTTAAACTGTACCTACTGCTGATAATAAGATGTCAATGACACACAATGGAGTCAGTAAAGGTGACTCACAGCTGCTGTGGCTGCACTCTTCACTCAGCCACACATTTTACAGTACTTTTATCACAGTTTTTAATGCGTGGTGTAGCATCATAAGATCAATTCATAGCCAGTTAGTCAGTTACACATTTCTAGGTGTTCAGTTTTATGCCTTCCTTTTTATTGTTCCTGAGATTTGGAGGAGAGAAGAATTGATGTCACAGAGGAACTGGATGGTCTGAGGCAGAAATTTAAATTTCATTTTTCAAACTCAAATGATGTTGGGGGTTTCTGTTGGTCCTCTATTGTTACAGATCCTTAGTCATTATAGGACCAGGACTGACCGATGCAGCTGGAGTGACCTGCTCTAAACTCGATGTCCTGTTGGAGAATCGCCCCATGACGCTGCAGCCCCCTCCACCAACGAGAGTCTGATACTCCATCCCTCTGATTTTGCCCCATCTCCTGATTTTCCAGGCTGTTAAAACCAGATGAACTGGAGCAGCCTCCGAAAGTGAAATGAAAAGAGTGGGGGGGGAAAAAAAGCAGCTGAGACAACGAAACGATTCGTCAGGAAAATCCCCAGAGATCGTCACAGGGAAACGTTAACCCTTTTGTGACCAGATGCTACATTTAGTTTAATTTCCCTGAATGAAAATTAGTGAGCGTCCTAATGAAAAGTCGGCTTCACTCCAGCCACTTCACTGCTGCCGTCATGGAGAGTGGGTTCAGCCGTGAGCTAATTGAAAGCTGACGCACTGGTCTCAGGAGGCTGTGGTGAAACAGCCTTGGAGGGGGGGGGGGGGGGGTCGGGGGGTCATATAACATCCTTTTAATGAGGTAAACTGATTCATTGACACCACCACTGCTGTCAAATAAACTGGTAGTGAAGGGACCTGGGGGGGGGGGGGCACTGACCTTGGATGATCTGAAGCAGAAGGCGGTGGCCTTGGTGTCGGACTTCTCCCTGTCCTGCAGGACCAAGCCTTTGTCCTCAGTCCGTGCCAGGTAATGACCGGTGGACAGGTGACGTAGCCTGAAGGCCTGGCCCCAGCGGATGTGGCTGCCGCTCCAGCTGGACACGGACAACAGTAGAACATTGTAAAACAAATAAAAAAATCAATCTTCATTTATGAAATTAATAAGATTTTTTCTCTCCAACAAATAAAAAAATCAATCTTCATTTATCAAATCTTCTCCTCCATCAGAACTGGAATTGAGTTTCTCTTAAAATCTCCAATCAGTTTTAGGAAAAGAACTTGTTTCACCCAGAAAGTTTTCAGACGTTTAAACAGGTTTAAAGTTTAGTCCAAAGTCTGAGAAATTCTCTCATCGTTTTGAGTTTTTTTTTGTTCTTGTTCCTGTTCTTGGAGCAGAGTATTTGATGTCACACTGAAGTGTTGTAAAAGAATGAAGGTCTGCTTTTATACCTGATCCTGAGGGGCTCCACTCTCCACAGTGAACGAGCTCTGGAGGCTCCTTTCCCAGCCTCGTAGTTCACGATCCTGGAAGAAGGAGATGCAGGAATAAAAATGATTTATTTTGTTCATTTTTTTGATCATTTGCAAATTAAAATAATATTAATATAAATACATTTTCTTCTGCTTCAGCCATATAATTAATAATCAATTCCACAATTACATTTAATCCCAGTAAATAAATGGAATGGAAAACAAGAAGCTTGTTTTTTTTTATATATATACACTGAGTGCTGTATGGGCCACACACACCATGGGCCGTGACCCATATTTCATCGTCACTTTACAGTTTTATGGTTCCAACTTTTGGGAAACGCCTTCCTCAGCAGTGGAGCTGCAGAAATGTTCGTCGTTGATTAACAGCTCAGGCTGGGCTGAGCCATTGTTGGTTTAAGGAGATTTACTGTTGGTCTGTTGTCAACACACACACACACACACACACACACACACACACACCGACAGTCCAACAACAACACAGTCCAGAGGCTGGAGACGACCGGGTCACTGACCTCTGCTCCTCCTCATTCTTGTCTGCACCGGGGATGGTCAAGCTCTCGTCGTGGCCGTGACAAAGACGCATCACATGACCACCGGTCAGGAAGCCTGAAGGAGACACGGGAGGGCGCACACACACACACACTCAGTTATGTTGTTTCTAGGGTCATGTAGAAACTCATGGATACAACACATATGCAGGGATCAAACTTTGTTTGTTATTTTGCAAAAACTGTAGACAAGTCTGGTTGTCCACTAGGTGGCAGTAATGTAACTTAAAGGATGTCAGCTAACATTAATAACCTTCAAAAACAGTTCACCAATAAAAAATGGCTAAATAAAAATAAAAATGTAATTTTTTTGGATGATTCTGGACAGGAATGACTGACGTACTTTAACCACAAATATTTACTCTCACATTTCTGGCCTCAGATCTGTTCTTCCGTCTGTAGGTAAACCAGATAATAATAATAATAGTTAGGTTAGCTGGACTTGCCTACTGCCATGTTGCCGGAGGAGCAGGTGGGCTGCACGTTCCAAAGAGTCTGCATGAAGGACGCGTCCACCTGGATGTTGCCGTTGGAGATGGAGAGATGCTGCAGAACAGAGGAGCGGGTTTAAGATCCAACACGGGGGGAGTGTGGGGGTGGGGGGGTGGACCGAAGCGCTGCCTCTGCCTCAGCGTTTCACTTTGCAGCAGATAATTACAACGTTCCTTCCCGGAAGGACTTGGAGTAACTCCCAATTCCATAAAGTTATAAAGGAGCGACAGGCAAGTGCGGCTCAGAGCTTCCTGAATGATGTTGTTGTTGTTGTTGTGTTGCAGTTTTCAATGAAGTCACTTGGGCATAAAGAGTGTAAATCTGACATTACTTTGAACACTTTTTTTGCCAAAAAGGAAGAAAAAAAACTCTAGAAATTGTTCTCTCTGTGTCTCTATGTTTGTGATTTACCAGTTATTTTCCACTAAATCAGATCCAAACTAAGGGAACAAATTTTAACAGGCATTCATCTAGGGCTTTGACCAAGGATTATAAATGTTTTTTAAATACTTTTAAAAAACTTTCGGTGCGAGAGAGTCAACACAGAAACCAGTTCAGCACCAGTGACTTGCCTACAGCCAGCTGTGAAATGAGTTTTTACTTCACGTGTGCAGTGTGTAAGACAAAGCAGCTCATGAAAAACCTCCTGTATTTTTTCACTTTAATGAAGCACTGAGTTTGTCCTGGTTCAATTTGTCAGAAGCAGAGAGTCTGTCGGGTGGAACCAGGTGACCATTTCTCACCGGAGGTAATGAAAGTGACGATGTTTTGCTTTAATTCACTTTTCACTCCCTGCAGGTCTGAGGCTCACGAGTCTGGACATCCGTCTCCCCTCTCTACATTTGTCTCTCTCTGTCTCTGTGTCTCTCCCTCTCACTAACCCTCTCGTCCCTCTGTCTTTGCTGAATAAATGAATGACTTTGCTTCAGAGCTTTGTCTACATTGACTTTTATCTCAGGCACTCCAAAAACTAGACACTATTTAGATACAATTTTTAAAAGGCACAAAAATAAAGAGGGTTCAACTATTTACTATGCAGTATATTTAATTTGTCTGAGCTGCTGTGAATTTAAGTTCTTCTTCTTCCGAAGCACATCTCTGCTGAGCTGTGGTTAGCTTTGGCCCAACAAGTCAGTCAGGTCTGGTTTATTTCATTACTTTGTTACGCTTCACTGTTTTATTCTGTACTAATGAGGCCGAACCCGTTCTGCCTTAAGAGTTCTGAAACCTCACTTTCTTAAATCGAACTCTGCAGCGAACCCGTTCTGCCTTAAGAGTTCTGAGACAGAAAAAAATCCCCACTTTCTTAAATCGAACTCTGCAATCTGTCTCTCCTCAGATAAAGGTCAGAGTTCAGAGTATTGTAATTCAGGAGCGATTGCGGTTGACCTACCAGGTATCTCTCCGTTGAAACACTGACAAGGATCAGGTCGTCTCCAATGCGGACTTTCTCTCCCTCAGACCTCTGCTTGGACGCAGGGTGAATGGTCCACCAACAGGCCTCTCCTGGTCACAGTAAAAACAACTCAGTAAAAACCCGTCTCACAGAGAATCAACTCTTCTGTTACTGATCACTGTTCAATAAGTTGATTAATAATTATTTGAAAAAATGGTGCTTTAACATTTTAAAGGTCAACTGTACGGGTTAGTCTCAAAATTAACTGATTAAAAAGAATTGAGAATCAGTGAAAGTATTTCTTTTTTTTTAATCTAATCCGAGCAGGAATTAAAGTTGACGACATCAGCGACCAACAAAAAAGCTAAAAACTGGAAATTTAGATTTTTGTTTTTTGTTTCCTTTGACCTCAGTAGAAAAAGTCACAGCTGTGTTAACGCCACGTTCAGTTAACAAACGTCAACAGAGTTTCTGTGTCTTCTTCTGCGATGTGAACTGACTGGATGTCAGCCAGCATTTCATGGGTGTTACTGCCACCTACTGTTAAGGAATGTGAATAAGCGCAAGTTTTTCCTCAACATTATTTTTTTCTGCCTTGGCAAAGGCCAGCGACGGACAACCAGTTGGGAATCAATGCTTTAGATCAGATGGTATGAGAACTTTGATTAGAGTCAATTGAGACTTGGAGACTTGACTTGGTATTGGCCTCATGGACTTGGACTTGTTAAACGATGACTGGTGAACGTCTCTATTTGAAGTTTAGTTTCTTCAGGTACATTAAAGGAGAACTTCACCTATTGAATCTTCCTGCAGACCGACATCAAACGACAGCTTGTCCGTCAGAGACCTCGACGTCTTCAAACAGGTCAAGTACTGATGAGTGAAGAAAACATTTTTTAAATCGTTTTACATACTCCATATTTCATATAAAAAATATAAATATGAAATGTTGACACTCACCATTCCACTGAAGGAGTGGCGAAGGAGAATGGCGTGACCGTAGAGCAGGGTCCGGTGTCCGCCCCCCTGACCCGCCTGCAAACAAACAAAAAAAACCTGTTATGATTAACAGAACTAACGTGGTCTCCTGAACCCGGTTAGGAAAACAGCGCGGATCAAACAGAAATGTGGACCATCAATAGGAGTGCAGGAAAACAAGAGACAATGGAAGAGGGTGAAGATCACGAGACGCCACACAGAATCGATCGATCGATCGATCAATCGATCATCCAAACAGATGTGTAATCATGAACACACTCACACCATGAGCCCATTCTCAGGTACTGAGGCAAAATGCTGGATGAGAAGATGTGAGTCAGTCTCAGAGCAACCAAGGAGGAAAAAAAAAAAGGAAGTTGGTGAAGAACCAGGAAAATTCTACTCACCTTTTTAATTAACCTCTAGAGGCGGCAGCAGCAGAGGGAGAACAACAGAGAAATAATTCCACAGCCAGTGACATTTAACAGCTAAAGTCAGAGAGCGGCTGCAGTCTGCTGGAATTCTGGGTTTGTTAGTTGGACAAACTAAAGAAAATCTTTTTTTTTTTTTTGGGCAGCGTCTGACGACTATTATAGAATTCTAGAAACAACTACGTCCATGAAACTCAGAGGATGTGAAAGCTCACATTTACATTATAAAATACAAATTTAAAAGACCCTCGATGTGGTTGTATCTGTGTATAAAGACCCCTCAGCATGCTAATTTGCTAACAGTTAACAGCTGATCAACAGGGGTCGCCACAGTGAGGACTGGAACCTTGGACGACAGGAACCACCAGAAATAAGAATCCACTTCCACTGAACTCTGCACCTGAATACAGTAAACAGAGTTGAGTGTCTGTGGTCGGTAAAATATACTGTAGTGATTTTTTTCAGACTGGTGTTTGATGCTGTTGTGTTAATCCAACAGGCAACACAGCTGTTGGTGTTCGTGTGTCAGTTCTCCATGTTTCTTTTGTTTATTTGCTGGTGGGCCTTCCATTTAAACAACCGCCTTCAGTGAGCGTCAACTTGTCCCTTTAATACGTCTCCCTCTGAGCAGAGAGACATCAGAGGGACAGAAAAGGAAACGCAGGGTTCAATCAGAAGCAGAAAAAAAATGGGAACAGGATCCAGTAACAGCTGGGACGAGGAGGGGGGCAGCAGGGAGGGGGGGGGGCCTTGCCGCGGGGCCGGTTTTGCGGCCTGCCGGCCTTG